ATATGAAGAAAAACATGAAAGGCTGGATCATTTTTCAACAGACAAACATAAATGATGGATGGTACAATAGAGGAGCTCATGATAATGAAAGGATGTGGCATTGCAGATCGAAGCAGAGTAGCCGAAGGGGCAAGATTGACGGTTAATAATTACAGGAATAAATGGAAAGTATTTACATGACAAGAGAAACTTCTTCACCCAGAACTGAGACTGTGAAACAGCATTCCAGGGCTAGTGCTCTAGTTAAAACTTGTGAATATTTAAAATTAAATGGGATAGATAGATGGAGGAACAGGGTTTGTGTATTTGGCAACATATTGAGTAAATTTAAGTAATTCAGTTGTGTGAAAGGAAATCTTAACAGAGTGGCTGGGCTGAAGGCTTGCTTTATATTTTAACTTATGTATTTGCAAGGCAACACCTCATTTCAATTGTGCAGCAGTAGCCAATGGTGTAACAAAGTTTGAGGGGCCACTGTGCGGGAAATTATTGGTTTATGACAACACACGGATGTTCTATATTTGGATTACCTGAATTGTGTCTTAACTCAGCAAACACTCACACCTCAGACACCACTCAACTGCAACTGATAACCTTGGAACAGGTTGCTGATCACCTTGTTGGCAAAACAATGTGTGCAATGTTTGAGAAGGAGCCAGAATTAATGTCAACACTTTGTGAATGAATAAACAGAACATTCAGGTAGGCTACAAGTCAATGAATGAACATTTCAATTTAATTGCATACCTTAGGAGCTTTCTTTGGCTGAAGAAAAATAGTTCCTTCTTCATTTCTGCCACATAGGAGTACGCCTTGGTGATCCAGAGTCACAATCACACATTGCAAGTGTTTCAACAGCGGCTGTGACATGTCCAGAGCAACACCAATGACATCATCCATCAGCGTGGGTAACTCTGTGCAATTGAGAAAAGGAGGGTGATAACCTTGCAGACACTGAAGGAAAGCTCACATTACGAGTGAATGCTGAGTACAGCAGTGCATCAATCCCACAAATGGCTGATAGCTATGTGCACTCATACTGACGGAGCATCACATCCAACAGATACACTGCATCTACACTGCTGGAACAAAATAATGAATTTAATTAATTTTGTCTCCTGCCACCAACTCTGATAAATTTGTACTATTCAAATGCAAGTTATTCATAAACAGAACAAAGTAACAGATTTATTACATTGTTCAAATGTTTAGGATTTAAAGTCCTAAGAATGGGATAGACATTTCCAGTGCTGAGTATAAGGCCTGATCGATCTCCCGTGGATTGCACATTCAGAATATTAACTCTCCAGTCATGAGCAAAGATGAAGATATACATAAATATTTGTATAAAATATAAGCCAGTACGTGTGCCTCACTAGAAAGTGATAAATGTCATCCATTGTTTATATTGAGATGCCCTCATGCCATCCTCCTTCTTGTTTCACAATACAATCCAACTCCCAGTGCAGTGACAAATCAGTTTATAGATCTGGTGTGTCACTGCAGCATGGAATGAATGTGTGTACACACACACACAAACACACACAGTTTCTGATTGCAGCTTTGCTGCTGGAGCTCAACTAGAAGCAGTCTCTCCCATAAAAGGTGTAGCTTTCTGAGGTCAATCCCCACAAGATGATCTGCTGACTAGACCTGAAGTCAGCTATTCTTCACCAGAAGCATCAGTAGAGAAAGTGGAGTTGTATCAAAAAGAGCAATGGACAGGTGGAGGAGAAAATACCCTTCTCTGAAGAAACAAAATAGAGTCTCAGTATTAAATCAAACATACAATACACAATATAATAATGAAAGAATAAGTTTGTGACAGTAAGGGGAGTAATGGGCAATACTTAGTCCACTAGTCGAGACATCTAGCTCCAGAAAGCTGCAGATGTCAACAGCGACTGCCTCTTGTAGATGTCGGTGCTCATATGCTGAGAACCCAATCTTCTGTTTGTAGACACAGTGCTGAGGGTTCAGCCTGCTTTCCCTCTGCCCTTTGGAGCAACACGTGACTGAGGAAAAGGCAGATATTGCTGGTATTGGTGTTGCTGATGTTGTTATTTCTCAATAGAGCTGCAAGCTACAGGTGCACAAGCTGCTGCAACCTCACAGTGAAGGCCGATGGCAGGGAAGTGAAGATGAAGGTGAGTGAAGTCTAAGACAAGTGAACTTTCTTCCAAAACGTTGGAAATCACCTGTCAAGAATGAGTGCACACTCTCAGTACAATCTCTGTGAGCACCAGGCTCTCTCAATTGTAGTTATTTCCTTTCTAAGCTAGAAGCCTTCCCAGTTTTGTTGGAGAAAGACTATCCTCTTTACATGCACCTGGTTGACTGCAGCTTGAGGAACCACTACACCAGCTTAAAAGTCAGATTGTTGGGTTAAATTGATAGTTAACTGGGAATTTCAATACTTCAATTACTTACCCAGCAGCCTCACAGTTTAATAGCAAACCTGTCGGAATTAAACCTTGAAGTAGGTGTGATTGTGATAGGTTTCTGCACCTGCACCATTTTTTGAGGCTTTAGACTTGCTCACACCTGAAACCACTTGACAGTCAAAACTCTGTCTTTTACCCATGTTGACTCAAACCGGTTTGAAATTTGCTGCAAAATAAACATATTGGAAATGATCACCTGTTGGCACTGGTAGTCCAAGAGCCTCATTCATTGCCCGTAATTCCTGCAGATTGGGTGATGTGTATGTCAGAGATTTCCAACTGTCTGACTCAAATGGTTTGCAAGCTGCGATACAGTTTGTTGGTTCAAACAACACTGCAGACAAGACAATGCATATAAAAAGGTGTTGAAGTTTCGTTTAACATTCCGTGGTTTTAGCAACATTTACATACTGTTTCTGTTGCCTACAGAACGTAAGCTTTTCTGTGCAGAAGTGACATGACTATCACTGCTGTGCTCTCAGCAGCTAGTTGTGCTGCATAGCAAAACACCAAAGACTGCCTTGAAATGAATGCATGAATGAATAATTTTTATTGTGACATATATCTGGTGAGATACAATGATAAGCATTTTGTTGCCACAATCCAGTGCCATTTTAAGTTATAAGAAGAAAGTCCTCAAATAGAGTTCATCTTCATCAGCCAGGGTTCCAAACATAGCTCCAGGGCTTCTGCAAGGTCTCTACAAGGTTGCGCTCAAGGAGTCTCGCTCTAGGTACAGCAACGACGAAGCTGATTCCCCAGGAGACCCTGGCTCCTCATGTTGCCACTGTCTTGCCAACAGCACGAAGTGTCCCTGCTGTGGGCCTGCTCACATCTGGAGTGCCTGCTGTCGCGCTCACATCCGGAGTGCCTGCTGTCGCACTCACACTGTTACAATTGACAAGGGGTGAGGTGCTGTACTGATTCATGGCAAATTAACTTGGAAATGCAGTAACTGAACAGTGGGACTCTACCATGTTGTGTAATCATTAACTAGTCTATAGCTCCTGTTTTGTTTGGTTTGAATTCCTAACTCATTGATGTAACACTTTCAGTTATATGCCTGGTGCAGTCCATTACCTGGTGTTCCATGTTCTTTTGCCACACTGCAGACATAATTGATAGTCGATGCAGGAATATTTCCATCTAGACACACAAATGAGGCCAATTGGAGTTGCTTCTTGAATTTAGAAACCTAGCAAATAACAAGCAGACCGGTAACACAGAGATCAGAATAGTGGGAGCCAGGAGAACAAACTAGGGAGAAGTGAGCTTGTAGAGTTGTTATCTCACAGAAATTCTATTATTGGTTTCTGGGTTTGTTCTGATTGATGTTAGGGCCAGTAATTCATACATACTAATGCCATTGTTAACCTAATCCAAATGGCAGGAACAGGGGTTGGTTTCGATCAGGCTGCCATTTTACACCTAGTCCATTTCAACAGCCCATTAATTTAAATGGAAAGTGTACATCATAGAACAAAGATGGGGCCTTCAGCTTTGTATGAATCTAAACCATGTCATGCAGTTGCCAAGAAAGCATTTGAGGAAGAAACAGATTGGTTTAATTCCTCTTTTGTGTGTACAATTTCTGAAATTTAAAGGTTACCACAGCTAGTTTGGTAAGGGACAGAGCACTATGGATGACAGAGCTGGGTTTCTCTTACATACTGTTCTGTTATTTGCTGGTGAATGTCCATGTCTCCAATGCCCAGGCTTAGTTCTCCATTTGCTGCAATCACTGCACAGTACACTGCTGTGCTACGTCCTGGTAACACTGCCACAGCACCAGTATCCTAGAAAGAGGGAGGACAATATCTTAATCTGAGAGCAATCTAATAGCACCATACAAAACAGAGTCAGTTATATGTGCTGTTCTTGCATAACCAAATGCAGTGGTACCATTGAGACCAACAACATCAACTTGCATTTATTTGCTACCTTTCATGCAAAATATATCCTGGATTCTTTTAGGACATCTACTCTCTCCAGCCTGTGATATTTCTCCTTAATATGAGGCTACCATTCCTTTCCCACCTTTGCTGAACACCATGTATCCAGGAATATTTAATACCCTGTCCTGCCATGTTTTGAGAAAGATTGCCATTCTTATTACATTTCCACCTGGTGATCTGCACTTGTAGCTTCCCAACCTTATTTATCTCCTTCTGAATTTTCACATACATAAGGTGTTAAATAAAAGATTACTACACAAGATAAGAGGATATGATGCTGGGGATGTCAGCAAACTTGAGTTTTAGAATTTTATATTGAGTTTGCTTAACTGAGCTATTTTGAGGTTAGACAGTCCACTAGCCGAACAAAGAAGCCACGTAAGTTTTCACAGTACAGCACACTAACACAATTTCAGAACACTAACCACTAGGATTGTAAGTAGCAAACAACCAGTAACCTTTAGTTGATCATTAATCATATGGAATTACATTGTAAATGAAGAAGTGATTAACAATCAATAGTTAATAAAGGCTGTTATCTTGATCAACTTAAATTAATTATATTAACTGCCCATGCTTTTAAAAGGATTGTAGAACATGTGGGAAAGCAAGGAACAAGACATCTCAAGAGTCTTATCAACAATGCTGCCTTTGAGTCTTCATTTCATAAACACAAGCATGGATAAAGGTTTGTTCATTTTAAAGATAAAGTCAAGACTCTAAAACACAATAATGTCTCATCTTTAAGGCAATCAGCAGACGTAGACAGATCCAAGCAAATTGACCATTCCCTCACTATTAACAAATTGGATTTCAACACTAACTTTTAATTGGGGTGGGGGTGATCAGGAGGAGTATTTAATCCCAAATTGAGTATGAAAAGGTTCTCAGAACCTTTGTTTATGAGTATATGGCTTATCCTTAGACAGCTGGACAGTATATTCCTGCCTCAGGACAGGATTACATTGATCTGAACTAACCTAGTTTTCAGTGCCAATTCTTGTCGGTTACTTTCATTGGTGAGTCAGATACCTGTCAGCACAAAAACTGGAGGTGGCTGGTGTCAAGCAAGGAAAGATTTCCAGTCCTCAAGCCGGGTTCTGTACTGGCTATCTAGCTCAAAGTCTGTCCTGCATTTTCATTATGGGATAACCACCTTTTGTATTTTTTTGTTAGCCAGTTCAATAGTCCTTAGATATCAGATATATACTTTTATTATATTTAATAGAACTTGGTATTATACATTGACTTAGTGTTCTTGTTTTGCCTGATGGGAATTTGCTATAAAATCTAAAGCAGCTGCTTGAAGTGGTTAATTCAAGACCTTTAATTGCATGTGCACAACCAAATTGAACTAACCTAAATTATCTAAACAATGACCTTTCCAACTTGTGGAGATGATATATTTGCATTGAGATGGGGCTGGCTAACTAACAGGAAACAGAGTCAAGATAAATGGGTCTGTTTCAGGTCGGCAACTGTAGCTAGTGGAGTGCTTCAGGGATCTGTACTGGAACCTCAACTTTTTACGATCTATAATAAGGACCTGGACAAAGGAACCAACTGTACAGTAGCCAAATTACTGACAGTACAAAGATGGCTGGAAAATAAGTTATGAGTAGGATACAAAGCGTTTGCAAAGGGTGTATGTGGGGTAAGTGAGTGAGCAAATATTTGGTAGATGGAATATAATGTGGGAAAATGAGGCATTCCATTTTGGCAGGGAGAACAGAAAAGCTGAATTTATTCCATTATTTAAATGGACAGAAGTGGCAGAATGCGGCAGCAGAGGGCCTGGAGTTTCATGCACGAATGACAACATGTCAGCATGCACAGTTATTAGAGCAGCAAAAGGAATGTTGGTCTCATTGTAAGAAGGACTGAATATAAAAATTTGGAGAGGACTACTCCATTAGATAGTTTTGAGCAACTTATTTAGAAAAGTACAAGCTCCCAAGGAAAGCAGTTCAGAGAAGGTTCACTATGGTGATTCCTAGGATGAGGGTTTTCAAAAATACTTGCTCAGAAGATGTGGGTTTTTCTGGCAAGGCCAGCATTTATTGCCCTCTCCAATGATGCTTGAGAAGGTGTTGGTTAGTTGACTTCTTGAACTGCTGCAGCCCATGGTAAGTAGGTGCACCCACAATGCTGTCATGGTAAGTAGGTGCACCCACAATGCTGTTAGGGAAGGTATGATAAGACTTTGTAGCGGTTGATACAACTGAGTCATTTGTTAAACTGTTTCATTCTGCTGCAGGTCTGGAGTCACACATACAGCAGACTAGGTGAGGACAGCAGATTTCCTTCCCTGAAGAATACGACTCAATCAGATGGGCCTATTCCTTATAAAAGGTCAATCAATAATAGTTTCATGGTCACCATTAGACTAACTTTAAATTGCAAATTTATTAACTGCAATAAAACCAATAGACATAGGAGCAGAAATTAGGCCATTTGGCCCATTGAGTCTGCTCTGCCATTCAGTCACGGCTGTTAAGTTTCTCAACCTCATTCTCCTGCTTTCTCCCCGTAACCCTTGATCCACTTGACAATCAAGAACCTATCTGTCTCTGTCTTAAATATACTCAATGACCTGGCCTCCACAGCCTTCTGTGGCAATGAATTCCATAGATTCACCACTCTCTCTGACTGAAGAAATTTCTCCTTATGTCCATTCTAAGGGTGTTCCCTTTACTCTAAGGCTGTGCCCTCAGGCCCTAGTCTCTCCTACCAATGAAAACATCTTCCCAACATCCACCCTGTCCAGGCAGTTCAGTATTCTGTAAATTTCAACTAGATCCCCCCTCATCCTTCTAAACTCCATCGAGCATAGACCTAGAGTCCTCAGACATTCCTCATATGTTAAGCCTTTCATTCTTGGGATCATTCTTGTGAACCTCCGCTGGACCTGCTCCAGGGCCAGTACATCCTTGCTGAAGTATGGGGCCCAAAACTGCACACAATACTCTAAATGTGGTTTGACCAGAGTGTTATAAAGCCTCAGAAGTACATCTCTGCTTTTAATATTCTAGTCCTCTTGAAATAAATACCAACATTGCATTTGCCTTCCTAACTATCGACTCAACTTGCAAGTTTACCGTAAGAGAACCCTGGACTAGTCCCTTTGCACTTCAGATTTCTGAATTTTCTCCCCATTTATAAAATAGTCCATTCTTCCTACCATAGTGCATGATCTCACACCTTCCCACATTATATTCCAACTGCTACTTCTTTGCCCACTCTTCTAACTTGTCTAAATCATTCTGTAGCCTCCCTGCCTCCTCAATACTACCTGTCCCTCCACTTATTTTTGTGTCATCTCCATAGTAAGATATAAACCCATGTTCCCAGAACCTTACAAAGGGGCATGGATGTGGTGAATAGCCAAGGTCTTTCCCCACGGTAGTGGAGTCCAAAACTATAGGATGTAGGTCTACGATGAGAGAGGAAAGATTTTAAAGGGACCTAAGGGGCAACTTTTTCATGCAGAGGGTGGTGCGTGTATGGAACGAACTGCCAGAGGAGATGGTGGAGACTGGTATAATTACAAAATTTAACAAGGCATATGAATGGGTAAATGACACCTAAGGGTTTAAGAGAGATATGGGCCAAATGCTGAGAAATGGGACTAGATCAGTTTAGGATATCTGGTCGGCACGGACGAGTTGGACCAAAAGGTCTGTTTCTGTGCTGTATAACTCTGACTCCACAACTTTTTCTAATTATAGCTTAGAAAAATGAGAGGTGATCGTATTGAAAAATACAGAATTTTGAGGGGGGTTGACAAGGTAAGGTGCTGAAAGGATGTTCCCCTTCAAGGGGTCATTTAGAACCAGGGAGCAAAATTCCAAAATAAGAGTTCTTCACTTTAAATCAGGGCTGATGAGGAATTTCATCTCTGAGGATTGTTAGTCTTTAGAATTCTCTTCCCCAGTGAACAGTAGAGGCTTGAGTGTAATTAAAGTTGAGCAGACTTTTGACTGACAAGGGAGTAAGAGGTTATAATGGAGCAGGTGGGAAAGAGGAGTTAAGGCTACCATCAGAAGAGCTATGAGCTTACTGAAGAGTTGAGCAAGCTTGTGGAGCTGAATGTAATAAACTCACAGGAATGGATTGTGGTATCTTGGATCTTCCTTGATTCAGAGCAAAAGGTATTAATCACAGGGCAGTTCTTCTCAGCTGGATGAAACTGACCTAGATGTTAGTTAGTAATAAGACATTACAGCCAAAGGCCGACATGCCCCTTACAGCTTCCAGTAAGGCCATGAGATGGGAGGAGCATGAGGATGTAGTTTCAGGTCAGCACTTCTCCCACACTTTGTTCTACCCACGCTGATGTGAAGAAGTTTCAAGCTAATGCCTGGCTCTTCTCAGCATAGGTAAAGTGTTGTGAAGTTGGGTACAGTACATGTGAATTAAAAGGCAGGATGTTAGAATTTATTTGTAAAAATGATGTGGGTTGGGGGGGGTGGTAGAGTGTGTGGTCCCTTTAAGAGGTGATGTGCTTTTCTAAGGTGGACATAAAATGTCTGCAAGCAGCTGCAGATGTATAGACAGTTCTTAAATTGAAACATATGTATCAATTTGCCATGTGGTTGGCAACCTAGGCTTGTTTTGATGTTAAGGCAACCTGATATTCATTGATAGCTTGAATATCAGTGAATTAATTTAAACCATGCCCTAGATACCAAAACCCATTCAAATTTAAATCTGATGGTGTTGACAACTTAGGATCAATCCTATTATAAGAAAATTGACAGGTCATCAAGGGTATAACAGAAGAGGGTTTTTTGGCAATCAGTCTGAGAGCAAACTACCATTGGAAGAGTAAAACTCTGGTTCTCACAAAAATCTTTAAGCTCTCTGATTAAGCACCATCTATGAGGTGCAATGGCACTCTTAGCTAATATTCCTGACACGAGGATTCGACAAAGAAAGAATTCCTGACTGAAGAATGGTGAAAAAAGCACAGAACATTGCGAAGACACATACCGACTCTAGTTTTGCAAGTCTGAGTTTTATATTATTTTTCTTATTACTTTGGTTTATCTAGGTTGGACTTGTATTTATTGGAAAAGTATGCCATTAGAATTTTGTTCTGTTCGGAATTAGTTAGTAGTTAAGGGGGAATTGTTTGCTTTGTTAGTAGGTCTGTTAATTTGTTCACTATTAGAGTTAGATAAATAAATTGTTACTTGTTGATTGTAGAGTGACTGAGGAGTTCATTTCATTTAACCATCCCCTCTGTAACAGACTGGGGGCTCGAGTCTGGGACCTGGCTTGTTTGTGTACAGGATCTGAATGGATTTGGACAGATTTGAACAGATTTGGGGTATGAAAGTTCCCAGCAGACTTAAACAGACATTGGGATTATTGTCCTAGATCTTTAATTAAAACTTAGGTGAGAAGTGCTGTTTAATTTTGGTTTTAATTATCAGAGGGGTTTGACATCCTCTCCCTAACAAAAAGCTAGAATTCAAACCCCACCTGCCTGTGCATACATTCCATCTAGTGGAGTGTTTCAGAATGGAATCCCCAGGGAGGTTTTCTCAACTAAAGCATGGTCGCTCCTAAGGAAAGGGAAGGTGTTGATAAATTTATAAAAGATGCTTTGAAAAGCATCCTAGATCAGTAATATATTTATCAAGTTGCATTTAGAAATGAATTCCTGCTCTGAGCTAACACATAAAGGCCTACCATATGACTGCAAAAACGAAGAACTGCTTCTCCATTGGCATCCTTTCCAATGGCAGAGATGAACAGTGGATTCAACCCCAAGCGACTTAGACAGTCTGAAACAGAGGAAGAAATATAGACACTAGTAACTGCGCAATTAGCTCTCTCTTTACCCAACCTGTGGCAAAATTGATGGATGAAACAGGTCATTTTCTGGATCTACAAAATCACTTCAAAGGGTTTGATCAAGTTGTCCTAGCAGTAAATGTACTGGATGGCAGTCTTTCATATCTAATCTGGTGTTTCCCTTAAATGTTTACAAACTGTCCTCGAGGATTAAAACTGCAATGAGTGTAAAATTGTTCTGTCTGAGAGAAAAAAAGTATAAACAATGAATCTGACATAGAGAATATTTCATTTGTGATTCCTGACTCACCAGCATTAAATAATCCCAATCAGAAGGCATTACTACTACTACTGTTAAAGTTAAGATAAGCACACATTTATTTTATAGAAAAAAAAATTGTAAAACACTTTCATTATATTATTTTTCTTGTATTGCAGGTGGCACACATCAATGAACCAATCAAATTGCCTGACCTACCAACCCTACCAAATAGTCCGTGCCATTTCTCAATCTCAATGTAGCTGATAACAAATCAATGGAAAAGGCAGTCGTGAACTGAACTCAGTCATTCAGATTTCCTGTATTTCTGTGGTGAGGCCAGTAAGTGCCAGCTGCATTGAAACCCTTAAAAATAGGCAACCGAGAGGTAAAATGTGAGTTCACAATGGAAATGATCAAACCATGATAACCTGATCTCAGTGGCAATACCACAAAAAGATGTGGGGCACTGGCAGGGAATTCCATCAGGAATTAGTGCTGCATGGTGGCTTAGTGGTCAGCACTGATACACCACAGCACCAGGGACCCAGACTCAGTTTCACCCTTGGGCGACTATTTGTGTGGAGTTTGCACATTCTCCCTGTGTCTGCGTGAGTTTCCACCAGGTTCTCTGGTTTCCTCCCACAGTCCAAAGATGTGCAGGTTAGGTGAAGTGGCCGTGCTAAATTGCTCATAGTGCCCAGGGATGTGTAGGCTAGGTGGATTAGCCAAGGGAAATGAAGGGTTACAGGGATAGGGGAGGGGGTTAGGTCTGCGTGGGATGCTGTTCAGAGGGTCGGTGTGGACTCGATTAGCTGAATGGCCTGCTTCCACACTATGGGGATTCAATGGTTCTTCTATGAAATGACAGAAATCGGAAGGACCAACATTCTTTCACAGCCCCCTAGTGGATGGCTCAGGTTGTGATGGTAGAATGGTCGGTATGAATCCAGTAAAGACCATATTGAGTGTAGAGGTATACGGTAGGACAAAAGTGAAATTGGTAGGGGGTGGGGGTTCTGAAGGCAAGTCCTGTATGTGCCAAAAAGGTCTACACCTGAACAGGACTGGAACAAACATCCTCAAGTTTTAAACTCGGGATGGGAACCTGTGGGCAGATTCGGAGTGCAAAACTGAAATGTGGCTTACTGAGGGGCAAGAATAATAGCTCCATATAACTGGATGTAGCGTTTTCAGGCATAACAGTGAAGGGGATTGAAAAAATGTGCAGCATTGCTCTAATGGTTGGGTATCCTTCAGCCCATGCCCAAAAAAATAAAAAGACCTAAATAGAAGTGTCAATGTACTAACTGAACTGAAAACCACTAGTTGAGCTTTAAAAGCATGAAATAACATTCAGTAACTAGAAATAACAGCTTTTAAGATGACTAGACATTTGCATTGCTGTATCTCTCAAACTTCAGTCAGTAAGCTGGAGTGAACTGTCTAAAAAAAATTCAGATATAATCATTTTGCAGAAGTATAAATGAGCAATCCTGACTTATTGATAGACCCATCCAAAAAAATCACATGCATATTCAACTGGGTACAGGCTAAGCATTAGATCCAAATCCATAATCCAAGGCATAATCCAAATCATGTAAACCATGCACGTACAATCAACTAGCAATGACTATCTTCTTATAAGCGGTAAAGTGTGAGAAGGGACCATGTCATGAATCAACTAATCCTCTTTTGTGTTTAAGAAATTGCTTTCCTCCAGGTCACAGGACAGAGCAGAAGAGATGCCAAGGAAGTAGGGCCGTGAACGTGAGGCACTCTTTCTTTCTCTGTATTGTTCCTACAGACAAGATCCCTGTCTGCCATCTGAGAAACTGTACACTGAAGTTTCAACCTTCCAGCTGTTGTTTCCAACAGAAAAGATAAGTCATCCATCAACACATAAATCATCTTGATGCCAAATCTGGGTAGAACATCAAGCTCAGCCTGAAACCATTCAAGTCATCAATCAAAATGCATACAAACATATACCACTGGTATATAATGATGCATCATAAACTATTAGCTCTTACTGGACTTTAAAATACTGCTTAATCTATTCTTCCAACTTGCAATTTATGTTTGCGTATGCATCTTATGTACCCTTAAATGCATGTATTTGAGAAAGTCAATGCAGTTAAAATCTTTTTTATTTAAATTGTGTTAAGTACAATAAATACAATTGCTTTTTTTAAAATCTTAAAGAAAACTTGAATGCCTGCCATTTATGGTTACAGCTTGTAAACAGTTAAACATCAATTAAATTGGCAAGCATATCCTTTTTTAAAAGCATTGTTGTGTAGGCAAACACTAATGAAAGCAAGGAATGAGAAAGTAAGTCTACTACTCTTCACCTGACCATAACATTGTACAGAACGTTGGTTCAGCCTCAATAGAGTCTTGTCAGTTTTGAGCATCAGACCGTAGGAAAGATGAGAAGGCATTAGTAGTACAGAAGAGATTCACATGAAGAATCTCAGTTATGTTGCTAGATTGGAGAGGTTGGGGTGATGTTCCTTGAAAGAGAGATGTTTGAGAGGATATTTGATAGAAGTCTTCAAAACTATGAAAGGTCTGGTCAGAGTAGATAAGGAGAAATATTCCCATTGATGTAAGGATCAAGAACCACAAGTAAAGGCAAAATGTGGAAAAACATTTGCATGCAGAGAGTGGTTATGACTTGAATTGTACTGCCTGAGAATATAGTGGAGGCAGGATAAATCAAGATATCCAGCTGGGTACTGGATTGTTATCTGAAGGATCAGAATGTGCAGAGACACTGGAAGAAGACACTTGAGTAGCATTAGGGAAATTAGTCCTATGGAAAGTCAGCAAATACAGGCTAAAAGGCTTCCCTCTGTGCTATATTAATTCTGTGATTCTGTTAGAGCATTATTTTCTAATGTCCTGCTCAATATTCCTCCACAACCTCAAAAGCAGGTGACCTGTGTTCACTTTATTTGCAACAGCATCTGATGGACAATGTCATCCAGTAGTGGTATAAGGCAGTAATGTCTCTTTTAACATTACCACAGGAGCATAAAGAAATGATTTCCTGTAGATTGCTGCATTTATTGCTGTCAATTATTCCTTCATCATTCAATCTAAAAGGATCAAGAGATGAGAAAAGTGTACCTGCAAGGTTTCTGCCAACTCCCCCTATTGATTGGTGTACAGTACCACGGTTTGTGGATCCAGTGAACTACAACAAAGAAACAACAAGCAGATTGTAGTGAAATAGCAGATGTCACATCAAAGCCTACACATTTTATTTAGGTGTCAGAATGGCTTAGTGGTAGCAATCTCAACTGTGAGGAAAGTACAGATATGATCGAGCCCAACTCTACAATTACAAACATGTGAACAAGGAGTACATTAGACCATTCAGCCCCTTGAACCTGCTCTGCCACTCAATAACATCATTGCTGATCTGTTTGTGTTTCAAATTGTACATTTCCATCGACTGTCAATAATCTTCGATTCCTTTACTGAACACGAAACTGCCAGTGTCATAAAATTTTTCAGGACACTGCCTCAAATGCCTTCTGAAGCACAAAGTTACACAACCCTCAGAAAAAAGAAACATTCTCCCTATTGCTTACCTAAAAGGGAAACCCTTTGATGTGAAACAGTGCTCTCTAGTTCAGGACTTATCCACAAGAGGAGACATCCTTTCCACATCCATCTTGTCAAGACCATTCAGGATCTTATACACTTCAATAAAGTCATCCCCTCAATTCTTCTAAGCTCCACAGGAAACACACCCAGTCAGTCCAACCTTGCTAATAAGACAATCGACTCATTCCATGTATTAATCCAATAAACCTCCTCAGAACCACCTTCGAAATATTCACATCTTCCTCGAATAAAGTGACCAAAACTGCACACAGTATTCAAGATGTGGTCCCACAAATGTCCTGTATCACCAAAGTATAACATTCTTATCTTTATAAACAATTCCTCTTGCTTTAAGGGAGAGCATTTCATTCACCTTAATTTCTTGATGCACCTGTGTATAAACATTTTGTGCCTCATTTGATTCTGCAGCTATTTTCCAATTAAGTCATATTCTGTTTTTATTAAAAAATTCTTCCTGCCAAAGTGAACTATTTTACACTTACCCACATTGCACCAGATCTGACAATAATTTCCCCATTCCCTTCACTTTCTTAATTCATCTGTCAAAAAATTCCTTTTGTTATGTCCTTTTCACAACATACTTTCTTACCTATCTCGGTGCCACCTGCACATTCAGCTACCATGTCTTCAAGACTTAACTGAGATATACTGAGTGAGCCTGCAGTCATCCCCTCCCTCAGTCTGAACAGTGAGCCTGCACTCGCTCCCTCCCTCAGTCCGAACAGTGAGCCTGCACTCACCCCCTCCCTCAGTCAGAACAGTGAGCCTGCACTCATCCCCTCCCTCAGTCCGAACAGTGAGCCTGCACTCACCCCCTCCCTCAGTCCGAACAGTGATCCTGCAGTCACCCCCTCCCTCAGTCCGGACAGTGAGCCTGCACTCACCCCCTCCCTCAGTCAGGACAGTGAGCCTGCACTCACCCCCTCCCTCAGTCCGAACAGTGATCCTGCAGTCATCCCCTCCCTCAGTCAGGACAGTGAGCCTGCACTCACTCCCTCCCTCAGTCAGAACAGTGAGCCTGCACTCACCCCCTCCCTCAGTCCGAACAGTGAGCCTGCACTCACCCCCTCCCTCATTCAGAACAGTGAGCCTGCACTCACCCCCTTCCTCAGTCCGAATACTGAATAAGCCTACATTCACTCCCTCTCCCAGCTCGAAGTCTGAATGAGCCTCTCTTTAACTGGCCAACAATTTCTGTATTTTCATCCGATTCTTGATTTTCCTGCCACCCCTGACCCTTCCTTATGGTGGTAGTTTAGGAGTTCTCTGAGATGCCTGTGCTCTAAATTACTCATTTATTGTAGGCCTTGGAACCGGTGAAGACAGTAAGAATAAGTGTTTTGCTCAATGCAAAAACAAAATTAAACTTCCATTCCTGCTGGATGTCACTTTCTCATCAGTGTGAACATATCGTCATTGTCAGGAAACAGGGCCACCACGTGGCCAGAGCGATTAAAACAGCACTTTATTCAGAGGTGGTTGTATTTGTAGCGATGAAGGAACTGCATTTTAAAAGGTAAATAAGAATTGAGACTGACCATCTCATCTCATGTCCTTCACTAACAGCACTGGACCCTGTAGAGAAACACAGTTTGGAATGCAGCAGAGTTTTCACTTGCTGAGAAATGATTCTCAGTGACTCTTTTGATTTTGAATGTGAATTTCTAATCAAAAAAGAACACTCTATGTCAGAACCACTGGTGCCTTCTCCAAAATTTACAGTAGTTGTGTGGATTAAAGTGCTGTTTTAATCACCGTGGCCACTTGGTGGCTCTGTTGCCTGACATTAACGACAAGCCCTTGCTGACAAATTTACTACAGCCTTTGAGGAGGTAACGAGCAGGGTAGATAGAGTGGAGGCAGTGGATGTAATATACTATTTATGATTTCCAAGAGGCATTGGGTAAGGTACCACAGATAAGGTCTACCTAATAAGCTAAGACTCAATGGTGTCAGGGGTAGTATATTCATGTGTACAGAGGATTGGCTAATTAATTAAAGACAGAGTTGGAATAAAGGGGGGCATTTTCAGGATGGCACACTTAAACCAATGGAGTGTCACAGGAATCAGTGCAGGGCCCACAATTATTTATAGAGAAAATTAATGATTTGGATGATGAAAGTGTATGTATTATCACCAAGTTTGGAGATGACACAAAATAAGTGGAATACAAGTTGTGAGAATAACACAACAAGAGTCTATAGAGGGATACAGACAGGTTAAGTGAGTGGGAAAAACTTGGCAGATGGAACATAATGTAGGAAAATGTGAGGTTGTGCACTTTGGCAGGAAGAATAGTGGAATTGAATCTTATTTAAATGGATAAGACTGTGGGTCAGAGTGAGTTAATCACAAAAAGTTAGCATCCAAGTTCAGCAGGTATTAGGAAGGCAAATTAGATGTTGGCTTTTATCTCAAAGGGAATGGAATGTAAAAACAGTGAGATACTACTGGACCTACACAAGGCACTAGTCACGCTACAGCTGGAATGCTGCAAACAGTTTTGGTCCCCTTAAGGAGGGGATATGTACTAGCATTGCAGGCAGTCCAGAGAAGGTTTATCCGGGCATGTAGCCACTTTCTTATGAGGAGAGGTTTAGAAGGTTGGGCTTTTACTCACTGGAGTTTAGGAGGAGGAGAAGTGACCCTTTGAGATACGTAAGATTCTTAGATGGCTTGACAGTGTAGATGCAGAGAGGTGTTTCGCTTTGTGAAAGAGCTAGGAGCAGAGGGCAGAAGGTTGGCTGAGGACTAGAGATTGACTAATAGTGGAAAGAAATATCATGCTCTTACTCATAGTACCATGTGATCTTTTATATTCAGATGGTTCAGTTTAAAGTTTCCTCCAAATGTTGACATTTCTGACAGTGCCATATTCCTTCAATACTCACTTCAAACAAGTCAATTCATCCACCTGACTCCCTATCCCTTTTTACTTACAAAGTTACAAAGAGATAGCAGTGAAATTACAAAAACCAGGAACAAAAACAGAAAATACTCAACATGTCAGATAGCATCACTGAAAACAGAAACAGAGTTAATGCTCCTGATCTGTGACCTTCTATCAAAACGGGGGATGAGGGGTGGTGAAGACGGAAAAAAAAAGCGGGATGTATGTGATACCATGATGGATAGGACAGAATGAACGACAAGTAAAGAAACAAAATATGCTGTGATCACGTACCACCAGATCACCTCCTTTTGCCTTTGCAATGAAATCAACATTGCAGCCACCAATTACAACCTGTGGATGCACCGAAAAAAAGAGGAACAGGCAATTAGGGAGAAACACAATCACGTATAAAAGTACTTTGATAAGAACAATTGCTGTCAAGTTTTAGTTTAAGAAGAGTGGCATTTTCTCTTCCATTGTTTCTGACATTTTATTTAATGTTAAATTTATTGTCAGAGTGACAGTAAACAGCATCATCTCGGCACCACAGGCCATTTGAAAA